AGGGAAAATGGGCTCCGGCACCTGCACAGACACTTGCTGGAGCTCAGCACAGGAGCTGCTGGAGAAGGAAAAGGCGTGTTGCCACCACGGAGCAGTGGAAATGTACTGACACCGCTGGGCAGGGCGGGAGGGAGCGGAGCAGCCCGGGGTGCTTTCAGCACAAAGACTGTTTTCTTGTGAACAGCTCCAGTCTTGCCACAGGAATGAATTTGGGCTGGGGCTGAGCTCACACGGGGCTGGATCCCAGAACAGGCTGCTGGGATTGGCTGCACCACGGCCAGGCAGCAGCTTTGTTTAGTAGAAGCACAACGTGAAACCAGCACCCAGGTTGAAATCAGTGCCCGTCTCTTCCTGGGGTGCCTGTGTGGGAACAGAGAGTCTGGGCAAGTGCTGGGTGGGATGCTAGGGTACCTGGAATTGGATGCCACAAGCTCCTCAGGTGCTGCCCTCTCATTGCACAGCTCTGATGGAGCTGCCAGTGTGTTGCAACTGGCTCAGGATCTCCTCCAAGTGCCAGAGTCCAGCACAAGGTGAATTCTTTTCCTGGCACACCTCCCTGAAAATAAACCACACACACCTCAGCGGGCTAAAATCCACATGGGGAATATGTCTGCATGAAACAAACAGTTGCTCTCTCTCTGTTTCCTCTGTTATTGATTAATGCCTCTTAATGACTCTGACCTCAAAAAATCTTGTTGTTGCCGCCTGTCACAGGAGATCAATGGAGCAGCATTAGCAGGAGATACAGGCAAACTGTCCCAGGTGAGCTCTCTGCCGAGGCCAATCTGGGAGCAGCGCAATCAATAGTTCAGCATGACCTCTCCCTCTTGCTTGCTTTTTTTCTCCTTGAGCTGGTTGGGCAATAAAGTCTGCTCTGAGCTTTCACCAGGACTAGATTATAACTATCCAAATTGATCTGATCTGTAAAGGATAAAAGGGCCTCTTAAGCCAGCTGTCTGCACTGGCAAAACTCAAGTGGCTGAGCAGACAGGGTCAGACCCTCATTAATTCCTGGATGCTTGAGACCCTGCTCATGCCATGCGTGAAGGCTGGACCACAGCGCTGGAGGGAGTCAATTAGTCATGACAAATCCAATCCGACTTCTCCCCCAGAGCTTTCCCAGTCACTTGGCTGTGCTGCTGGTGCCTTTTCATGAGTACATCGTCATTGAAGCCACCATGCCCTGTCCCTCCCATGCTCTTTTTGTGATACCTCCTTGTTTCTCTTATTACCCTTTCTCCAGGGAGAAATTGTGCTGAGGAGGGAGAGCCCTTTGTTGATTCACACACTGGGAGATGCTGCAGTGAGCAGATGTGTCCCAGGTGGAGCGTGGGACAGAGGAGGTGAAGAGGGGATTCTCCTTTGCTCAGACAGCCACTGCCTTCTTGAAAACCTTCTGCACATCAACCCTCCAAACTACAGCCTCTCTCCTCACTGAAACTGATACACAGGGAATGCCTGGAAGGTGAATGTTGACTTAAAAACCATGTCCAGAGCTGCTCATCCCACCTGTGCATCTCTGTCTCTTCTGAGGCCAGCTGAGCCCTGTGCCTGCTCCAAGGAATGTCTCCCCGGCCAAGCCTGACTTTGGGAGCCAAATGCCCAGGGTGAAAGCCGTGCCCTGGCTGTGGAGTGGAGAGGCTGGGGGCTGGCATGGGCACTGGTGAGGGAGAAATCCCTGGGCTGTGTCTCCCAGAGCATGACCTGATGATGAATAACTCCATAATTAAAGCTAGTGCAGGGATCTGCTTGCTCAGCCCCCATCTCCAAGCTCCTTTGCAAGCTCCCTTTCCTCCCTGGCTGGGAAGCGCCCACGGTTGGCACATGATGGAAATCCCAATGAGAGAAGCTCCCCTTCCAGAGCCAGCACCGCAGGGCTCCCAGCCACAGCCACCACCCTTTGCCTTTAACCCCAGCACTGCCTGCAGAGCTTCTTCTCTTCCTCCTCGTAGTTCAGGGCCAGGGACATCCCTGGGGTGTCCCCAGCCCCAGTGGATGGTGGTGAATGAAGGATGAGACCCCCAAACAGTTCCCAGCAATCCAGGAGCTCTGTGGGGGCTGCAATCCTGGCCCAAAGCATCCAACGAGCCCCAGCACCCCCATTCAACCCCCCTTAACTTCGTAGTACTTAATTACAAGTAGCGGGGATTCGAAGAGGAAGCAGAGGGGGCGAGCACAGGACAGATTGGAGGGAAGATTGTGCTGGGGGTGGCAGGGCTGTCAAGCCAGAAACACAAGAGCTGATTAGCATTTCTAATTATAACCGCTGCGCTGAGCCCGGCAGGCCCGGCAGGCAGCAGAGGCAGCTGACGGGCTGTGCAGAGCCAGCTGTGGATGCCACGCAGGAAGCACGGGCGATCAGCTCAAATCCTTCAGAGATGCACAGAAAAGAGCATTAAAGCCTGCATCCATCATCTCCGGGGCTGCGGCACTGCCTGGGAATGCCGGGTGCAGAAATCCCTCTGGTGTGTGGCCATGGGGCTGATCCTGATGGCAGAGGAGAGGGGGCAGAGCATGTGCCCCTATTTTGGTTTGGGGTCCTGCACCTCCCTGCTGGCAGCAGCATTGCGGGTGATGGCACTGGGCTGTCCCCAGCTGTCACCCAACGCTGACATCCCACCCAGAGGACGCTGGGCAGCTCAGGGTGCTCCGGAGGGGATGGGCAGCCACCCTTGGGGGTCCCTGCTCACGAGTCAAGGCTGTCCTGCACTGCTGTTAGCTCTGGCTGGAGATCATTTACTCATTATCATTTAGTCAGACAAACATTGCGGGCCAGCAAATGACCGCTGCAGGGCTGTGCCTGCGCGGGAGCTGCCATGTCCCGAGGGCGCCGTGCTCTTGGGGACGTGCCCGCAGAGCCACCGCCTGGCAGGGAAGTGAGCAGAGGCCAGCGGGCGGCACGCTGCGGGCTTAGCTGGGATCAGCAGGGCTTTGACCAGGAGAAACTGAAGCGACTTAATCAAGGCAGCGAGCGAAAGAATTCCCAGGGAGGAGCTGAGCACTGGCTGATCCCGGCATCTTCTGGATGCTGACAGCGCCTGCGGGAGCATTTTCCCCACCTTCGAGCTACAACAGCTCTGGGTGCCTGCCTGGTGCTGGAGCCCCTCCTGGCAGTGCCAGGGGAATTTTGGAGAGGGGAGAGACCCCTTGCACAGGGGCAGCAGCCCAGGCAGTGCATCCCTGGTGCCAGGTGCCTGGGATAGAAACCAGAGATGGGCACCATGGGGAGAGATCTCACTTCCCTTCTGTGTTGAATATAAGGTACCATCACACCTGCAGAATTTTTATTACTCTTTTGATTGGATTAATTAATCATTCTGTGATAACTGCTCATTAGGCATTCTAACAATCAATACTAATCACTTAATTACTTGGCGTATTACAGCTTGGGATGGTCTGCTCATTCCTAATTAGATTCGCTGGACAATCCACCCCTGAATTTTGCAGAGCCCCACAGCAGAATTCTGTGGATTTCCAGACATCCTCAGCTCTGGCCAGGTGTGCCATTCCCTATCTCCATCGAGGGTTCTTCCCCCACTCTTGCCCTCCAAAATCAGGGTTCAAGTCAGAAGGAGCTGCATGAGCAGGGTGAGCAGGGAGTGTGGAATGCATCCAGCAATGCACCTTCCCGTCCCTGCTGTTTCCCAAATTACCAACCCCACCAGCAAAAATAAATCTCAGAGTCTCTTCTTCTTTCCTGTCTTAATTAACACTAAAAAAAAGAACCTGCTGCAGAACCATCCTGGCTTCAGTGGGATGGTAAAACCTTCCCTGACAGGGGCTGTGGGTGGCTGAGGTGACTTCACTGTCCCTGTCCGTCTCCGCTGCGGGCAATGCCAGCCCGGCCCACACAGAGGTCAGGGCTCAGTGCTGGAGCAGCAGGGACCTCCTCAGGGTTAAAAGCAGGCAGCAAACACACTGCAGGATTTGGGAGGCTTCAGGCAGTTTTGTGTGATGCTCTTTATCCATCACCATTATTTGGATTAGTCCAGCAAAGGCTTTTGCTCATTAGGCCCTGATAACTCGGTGCTTGGCGCTCACACTGAGCGGGGATCTGGGCTCGCAGTGACCAGCTTGTTTTCAAGGGTCATTTTGAACCAAATTTAAAAGGAAGGAGCAACCTGAGCCATGAAAAGGGGGCAAACGGATAATCTGAAGATTTGCTTATAGCAGGCAAGGAATTATCTTAACAATGCCCTCGTGACTGAGTCTCCCAGATCATTTCCCATCATATTATTTGCTCTTGGTCCCCCTTGCTCTAACTTGCCTGTGCACACAGGATCCCCCTGGGTGGGGCTGTCCCTGGCCTGTCAAAGTCTTGCTGTGATGTTTCCCTGCCCGGCTGCAGTGCTAACAGGGAGGACCAGCCAGTCCTGCTGCTGGGATTCAGGGTGGGAAAAGACACAGCAAGAAGGAGAAGGAGCGGCGGTGATGGCAGGGCTCAGGCATGAGGGGTGCAGCCCCGAGCTGTGCTCACAGGTTATCTGCTATGGGTAACGAGGAGGGAGTCTGGCTCTCTGCCACCAAAAATGGGTTTGAATAAACCTGGAGCTGCTGTGAGTGCTGGGGGCCAGGTGGGATCAGCATCTCCACAGACGGCTCCCTGCTCTGCCAGGATCATCAACCAGGGCTGTGTGGTGGGGTGAGCCCGGGGATGGGATCCCCGGGTGGGTGGAACCCCGGAACATGGGATGGGCACGGCCATGAGATCCTCAAGCGGGATGCGCGGCTGGATGGGGCATGACCCCCCCGGGCGGGATGCCCAGATGCGCAGCGCTGGGTTGGATTGACCAAGCGGGGCCGAGCGGGGCCGTGGCCGCAGCACCCCCGGCTCCCCGGGCTGCGGCGGAGCTGCGAGCGCCGCCCCCGCCTCCCGCACCGCCCCGCGCCGGGCGGAGCCGCCGAGCCCCGCGGGCCGGGCCGGGCGCTGCGGCGGAGCGAGCGGCGCGCCTGGGCCCCCCTTGCCGGGACCCCGGCCCGCCCCGGCCCCGGCGGCGCTGCGGGGGCCGCGGCCGCCCTGGCCATGCCCCCCGGAGCCTGAGGCCCGCGGCCGCGGGGCGCCCGCAGCATGCGGAGGATCCGGCGCCTGGTGCATCTGGTGCTGTTCTGCCCCTTCTCCAAGGGCCTGCAGGTACCGGCGGAGCGAGGATGCGCCGGGATGGAGGATGCGGGCTCGGGGATGCGCCGGGCCGGGGGGATGCACTGGGATGCGGGATGCCGGCTCGGGGATGCCCGTCTCCGCATGCTGGCACCGGCCGTGCACAAAGGGACGCTCCTCCTCGGCTCCCCCGACGCCGGTGGAAGGAGCCGGGGCCGGGCACCGGCACATCGGGGGTCTGGAGCAGCAGCCGGGGCCGCAGCGGTTGCATAACCCGCGCCGCGCTCCGCCGTGCCGGAGCCGGGGAGCACCGGGGCAGCCCAGCCCGCAGCGCTCGGTGAAGCCGCCGATGCAGCAGGGCAGGGATGGCTCCTTCCTTCTCTTTCTTTATCTTCCGTCCTCTTCCCATCCCTGAGCTTCCGAGGGCCGGGCACCTCCCTCAGATCTCCAGGGATGCTGGGGCCGGGGATGTCAGGGATGCTGGAATGGGGGTTCTCTCTGCAGCCTGGGATGGGAAAGCCTGGCTATGGCAAGGATCCTGGACCCGAGGGGTTATCCCGGAGGGGATGAGAGAGGGGATACCCGGTGCTGGCAGGAGGTGGGTGCAGATCTGGGAGTGCTGTGAAACAACCCCCGTGTTCCCAGGGGAGCCAGAGGGATGGAGCAGGATTTTGTTGATGCTGCATCCATTTTGCCTTTGAAGTCAGCCCCAGCCCAAAGTCACTTTCATATCCTCCCTAGTCACTCTAAAACTAAACACAGCAACTCTCACAGGGTAACACCCTTCAGTGCAGGGAAGGCAATGGGGAGAGAATCCCCTGTGCCTTGAGACTGAGGCTCTGGAGGAACCCTCAAAATCCAAAATCCAAGCAAATCTCAGGGGAACCTCTCATTGAAATGCATCCCCCACATTTCTTTCTACCCGTTAGGGGATGATGAAGCCAGAACTCCCCATGCCATGCCTGACTCCCCTTCTGCTACAGGATGGATTCTAAGTCAGAATAAGTAAAAAGTGGCATTTTGGCTATTCCAGGGTTCTCCAAGACATATCTCTAGTGGGAAGTCCCTGGAAAAGTCCCTTTGCTGAGGGCAGGGAGCCTCACATGCCCACCCTGGGTAGTTTTGGGGGGCTCCTGTGCTGGGGGATCTCAAGGTCTCAGTGTGCCTGACTTCAGGGCCATGAGCCCCTTCTCAGCTCACAGGAGCAGCCACCTAGACTTTGTCTTTGCCAAGTCCTGGCTGTGCTTGGCTTCTCTTTAATTTAATTTCACGTTAATTAGCGGTGCCGTTGCTTCACAGGCAAGCTGGGCACCCTGGCCCTCTTCACACTTTAGGGTTTCCAATTAATGGGAGAAATGTCACGATCTTGAGGCAGACCTGCCTCTCTCACCCTCACTGCCCATTCCTGTGGCTCCCACAGCCCTGACAGCTCCTGGAAAGGGGCTGAGGAGGAGCATTTTGGAGGTGGGGAAGTTTTGGGCGACAAGACCCAAGCCAGGATCCCCAGCAGGTTTTAAAGGTGCTGCACCCACTCAGATCCAGCTCTATCCCAGCAGCAGGTCGTGAGGAGGGAGGAGGGTTTGGAGGTGGTCAAAGGCCAGAGATTCTGTAGAATTACCTACAGAAAAGGGATGGAAGGGTTTGTTTAGTGCAAGGATTCATTCCCTGCCCTTTGGAACTGCTGGGATCTGCTCCGTTACACGAGCCAGGTGAGCAGCCTCTCTTGCAGGAGGCCAGATGGCAGCAGTGCTGCTGTGCCAGGGTCAGGGGGGAAGGAACAAAGCCAAAAACCCAAAATCCTGCTGAGAGCCTCTGAGTTGTTTGCACAGAGCATCACCTGGGAGCTCCCAGGTTTGTTACTCACCCACTCCCACACGGGAACTGCTGCTGGGAGCTTCCCCTGCCTGTGGGGCTTTCTAAAGGGGGGGTTCTGCTGAGAGGGATCCCCCAAACAGGAGCAGAGCCCCTGCAGCCCCACTGGGATACCCCAGCCTTGCACAGGGCAGGAGAGCGGGAGGATGTGGCCACAGCTCCCAGGGATGCACGGCATCCAGCTCCTTGCAGCCCAGCCTGCTAATCCCCCTGCTTTTAGGGAATTTTAAGTGACCTACTTGCAGCAGGAGTTGCATAAGAGACTGATGAATATATATAAAAAAGGCTGAAGGTTTCCCCAGCGCTCAGGTCGGTTTGTGTGGCACAGCCGTCCTTGGCCAGCTGTGCTGCCCTGGGCAATGCCCTGCCCTTCCAAAAGGCTTTCAACAGCGTTTCCTTTGCCTTGCAGGGCCGCCTCCCGGGCATCAAGGTGAAGTACCTGCTGGTGGTGTGGCTGGGCATCTTCGTGGGCAGCTGGGTGGCCTACATGCACTACGCGTCCTACTCGGAGCTGTGCCGCGGCCACGTCTGCCGGATGATCATCGTGAGTGGCAGCACAGCCCCGCGGCTCCTGTCCTGTTTGGGGCCCCAAAGCTGGCAGGAGGAGCCCTCCTGGCAGCTGCTGTCCCCAGCATGGCACAGGGCTCGGAGCAGGAGGGGTGACCTTACCCTGCCAGGGTGACGGTGAAACAATTCTGTGAGATGGCAGAGGGAAGCAGCCAGGGCAGGCGTGGGTACATCCATGTCTGTGCAGGTGAAGCTGGAATGGCAGGGCAGGGAGCAGGATCTGTGGGCAGGGACAGCATCACACCAGTCCCCTCTGGGCTCTGCAGAGCAGGAGGAAAAAGGGAGCACTCGGTCCATGGTACCTGTCTGTGGCTGCTGAGCAGCCCTAAGGAAAGCAGCAGAACTCTGTGTGGCTGCCTGGCTCTGTGTGTTTTGCCCTGTTTGGGGTTTGTAGTGTAGTTCCATGGGATTGTATTATGTTCCGTGTTCCCCATAGAATGTCTCCAGGAGTGCTGTGTGTGCCTCTGGCATGGGAGTGGGTCTCAGCCCAGCCCAGGAGAGGAGGGGGAGCTGGGCTGTGTCAGAACAAGCCTCGTTGATCAATCCCTCAGCAGAGAAGGGAGGCAGGAATTGCCATAACAACAGCAACGATCGTTTAATTTGATTTTCTGCCTGACTCTGACCGCGGGGTCTTGGGCGCTAATTCCTGCTCGGAGCTGGGGCTTCCAGGCTCCGTGTCTGGCCATGTCCTCTGTGAGCAGGTCCAAGGGTTAATTCCCATCCACAGCAGAAAAAAAAAAGGGAAAAGATGCAGTGAGTGTCTGCAGCTCCAGCTTCCAGCCCTGAGGCTGCTGTGCTCTCGCTGAGGAGCTGCAGAGCTGCAGCCTCTCCTGCCAGGGATGTCTCCAGCTCCAGCCTGGCCATGGATCAGCCATGTCTGTTCATGTCCCTGTCACCCCCTAGACTGGGGCCAGCCTGGTTCTGCTGAGCATCCTGAGCCTGTGCTTCCTCACCCAACTCCACGCTGTCCTCTCCTCCAGTCAGGAAGTTCTCCCAAACCCCTGGATTTTCAGCAGCAGCATCCAGGAACAAATCCCTGAGATCCCCCCAGCAGCACAGGGGTCCCTGCCAGCCCAAGGCACTGAGCCATCCCTAAGGGCCAGTAGAAATCTGTCCCTGCTGAGCTCCTCTCTGTCCTTGCCCTCCCCAGTGTGACCAGTACAAGAAAGGGATCATTTCTGGCTCCACGTGCAAGGACCTGTGTGAGGAGCGCGGCCTCCTGTTCCAGCACTGCCTCTCCTCCTCCCCCAGCCAGCAGGTAGGTCTGTGCCCCCCAGCCATGCCAAGGCTGGGCACAGCCCCAAACCCTGCACATCTCCCCTGTGCCCATCCCAAACCAGCACCCAGCTCCCTCCTCCTGCTGTGCCCCTCCCTGTGCTCCAGGTGTACAGAGGGCTCTGGAGGGACAGGGAGGTGATCATCAAATGTGGCATCGGGGAAGCCCTGAGGGCCGAGAGCCGCCCGGACTCTGTGCCCAGGAGGGACGTGGTGCTCTTCGACAAACCCACCCGGGGAACCTCCATGGACGAGTTCAAGGAGATGCTCCTCAACTTCCTGAAGGTCAGTGCAGGGCCCTGTGGGATCCCACAGCCCTGGCATGGCTCTGTGAGTCAGAAACACCAACTGTGTTTTTCCTTCCCTTTGAATGAGAGTTCCTCCATCCACTGCTGGTGCCAGTGCCATGCAGTGATTAGTGGAGGAAATGAGTTCTTATCTGTGAGATTTCAGTAGCAGCATCTCTGGAGGTGGCTGTGCCATGGCTGTGGGTGGCATCTATGCTGGGCAGAGCTGATTTGGTGGTCCTGGTAGTTACCCCTGTTGGGTGGCATCTGTGCTGGGCAGAGCTGATTTGGTGGTCCTGGTAGTTACCCCTGTTGGGTGGCATCTGTGCTGGGCAGAGCTGATTTGGTGGCTCTGGTAGTTTCCCCTCTTGGGACCTCTGCAGCAGTGGTGGGGTTCCAGCTCTAGAGAGGCCCTGAGGCTGGTAAAATTCTGCTGGAGCTGGATGCCCACATATTGTGTGGCATTTTCTGGAGTGTCACCATTTCCTCCTCCTCCCCAGCTCAGTTCTTTTCTCCCCCAGTTCTGTTTTGTGATGTGACACCCAAACACAGAGAGCTGTGAGGGTCTGATGCCAATTTTGTGCTGTTTGCAGTCCAAGCTGGGGGATCAGCCATCTCTTCCCGCCCTGGTGAGCCGGATCATCACCATGGCAGACGTGAACCGTGACGGGAAGGTGTCCCTGGCAGAGGCCAAATCCATCTGGGCGCTGCTCCAGCTCAACGAGTTCCTGCTCATGTTCTCCTTGCACGAGAAGGAGCACACGGCCAAGCTGCTGGGGCACTGTGGGGACCTTTATGTCACCGAGAAGATCCCCCACACCTCCCTGTACGGGGTGGATGTCCCCCCTTTCCTGCAGTCCCTGCTGCCTTCCCTCGCCCACCAGCTCATCCACCAGTGGTTTGCGCCGGCCTGGCCCCGGCGCGCCAAGATCGCCATCGGCCTCCTGGAGTTTGTGGAGGAAATCTTCCACGGGACCTACGGCAGCTTCTACATCTGCGAGAGCAGCCTCAGGAACGTGGGCTACAACGACAAGTTCGACTTCAAGATGGTCAACCTGCGCAAGGTGGCCACGGAGATGACAATCAGAGGCTTCCTCAAGGGCCGGCACTGTGAGCAGAACGGGGACTGCACCTACGGGCGGGACTGCACGGCCACGTGTGACAAGCTCCTGAAGCAGTGCAAGAGCGACGTGGTGCAGCCCAACCTGGCCAAGGTGTGCGGGCTGCTGCAGGACTATCTGCTCTATGGAGCTCCCCTGGAGCTGAAGGAAGAGCTGCAGAAACAGCTCCGAACTTGCATGACTCTCAGTGGCCTGGCCAGCCAGATGGAAGTGCACCACTCCCTCGTGCTCAACAACCTCAAGACCTTGCTCTGGAAGAAGATTTCCAACACCAAATATTCCTAACGGGGGAAGCACGGCCCTGGAATTTCCATCTGTGAGTTTGGAGTGAGGTCCAAGGGCTGAAGGCCTGTTTCTCCATCCTCTCCTCCCCAGGAAAAACACACCCTGCACAGGGAGTTCCAGAGCTGCAGCCCCTTCTCCTTCATGGAAAATCAACATCATGACTTGCACCACCCAGCAGCATCAGGGACGGGTCAGCAGGAGCAGAGCTGGGACACGGAGCTGGGCTGAGCAGGCTTGGGGGAGGAAGGAGACACGGAAAGGGATGAGGAAGCAGAGCCCAGCTGGATGCATCAAACTGTTCCTTGATGAGCAGGAAAGCAGAGCAAAGCGATGGGAATGAATCATTCATGCTGTACTTGTCACATCTCCTTTTGAGGAACGGCTCTGATGTAAATAAACAGCTTTTACGTGAATCACACCCGTCCATCAATAGCCAAACAGCAGCCTGTTAAGTACCAGCTTGTTTGTGATCTAAAAAGGAGGAAAAGGTAGATTTCCCCTTTCAAAAGCCTCTCCTTAAGTGTCTGAGTCATCTGCCATCAGCTCCAGCTGTCACACAGGAAGCAGATCAGCTGTCTGTTGCACCGTGGAGAATCGTGGCAGTGCTTTGGTTCCGTTTTTAAGTGCCTGACCCTGCCGGTGATGCCGAGGCTTGTGAGAGGCTCCCCCCAGCTGCTCCTGCCCCCAGTCCGGAATTGGCAGCACAAGCCATTCCCTCACGTGTCCGCTCTGGAAGCGGCCGAGGCCAAGGATGGCTTAAAGGCAAAGGGCTAAACACGAACGTTGTGACCCCTCCGTGTGCTCGGGTGTCACTGCCCACCACGCTCAGAGCAGGGATAAGCCAACCCCTCCGTTTAATTCTCCAAAAACTAAGCTGGGCTTGCCCTGCAGAGGTTGAAGGTTAATACCAGAATAATCCAGTGCTTCTCTCATTATTAAAATGAATTTCCAGGCAAAGCTTTTAGCAGGTCTCCAGATATTTTGTTTTGGCCGTGTCTGTGCTCCCAGGGCTCCAACTATGGCTGTTTCCTTGGAATGCTCAATTAAAGCAATCTTACAGCTCTGGGCAGGGAGGAAGAGCTGGATAAACTCCCCCAAGGTTGCTCTGTTCCCAGCACAGCCATCTTCCTGCTGCTGGAGCATGTGCTGCTTCTCCTGCCAACAATTCCTTAGGGAAGCGAGCGTGCAGCTGATGTGCAATCAGAAAATAAAAATACACCTGACACTGCAGCAAATTTAGGAGCCCTTTTGGGACAAAGATCAGGATTTTCCTTCTGTTGGTTCTTTAGGCTCCTCATCACCTCTCACTGGGCAGATTTTGGTGTTAGGAGTGCTCTGTGTCCAGCAGAGCTCAGTCCCTGCTGAGAGTGGCCTGTGGAATGTGATTTATCCATGGAGAAGGTGAGCACGCCCAAGGATGCTGTGTTTGAAGGGATGCTCAGCCTGGACTGGGTATGGGCACAGCCAAGGTCCTGTCTGCAGGTGCAGGGGAGGGAAGGCAGGGCTGGAATTCCCTGGAATTCAGTGAGGATGCTCCAGGCTCCTCATCCCTTGTCCTGCATCCCCATGGCAACAGCTGGGGGGATTCTGTGTTTGAAGGGATGCTCAGCCTGGATTTGGTATGGGCACCACCCAGGTCCTGTCTGCAGGTGCAAGGGAGGGAAGGCAGGGCTGGAATTCCCTGGAGGTCAGCAATGAGGCTCCAGGCTTCTCATCCCTTGTCCTGCATCCCCATAGCAACAGCTGGGGGGATTCTGTGTTTGAAGGGATGCTGAGCCTGGATTTGGTATGGGCACCACCCAGGTCCTGTCTGCAGGTGCAAGGGAGGGAAGGCAGGGCTGGAATTCCCTGGAATTCAGTAAGGATGCTCCAGGCTCCTCATCCCTTGTCCTGCATCCCCATGGCAACAACAGCTCCCCTGGCAAACCCAGCTCCTCCTGCCATTGCAGAGGAACCCAAGCCCCTGCCAAAATCCCCTCCTCAGGGTGGCAGAAAAGCCATTTTCCATCCTTCCCTCCATTGTTTACTCCCACTAAATCCCTGCTGTTCCCTTCCCTCAAAGCAGTGCTAAAGCAGGAGGAAAACAATTTCCCCAACACCAGAACCTCTCTAAATATTTATGAAGAGGTGGCTCCTGTAGCTGAGGGACCAGGCCTTGACAGTTTAATTGAAATAAAGACACTTGTGACAGCAATTGTTCCATTAATGCGCGTCCCCTGTGGCCCTGGACACTCCCAGGAATTCTGCTCATCACTAACAAAAAGCACAAAGTGAGTGCAGTTTACAAACCACTCTGGGATACAGGAGAGAAATGAATCAAGGCAAAGCTGTTTTACACTTAAATTACTCCAGATTCCCCACAAGAGATGGAAAAAAAGCCAGGACACTCCAAGACTGATAATCTGATCTCAGTGGATCCCCTTTGTGCCCAAGAGGATGGAGGTAAAACCTTAAATTACTTTAAAACAATCCTAAATTCTCATACCACAGAGTCTTACATCCTAGAATGGTTAAAAAATAGCATTACAAACACACAGCATAATCCTTTCAGTCTTGTAGGTGGCATCTTTATTTAGGCTTTTTTAATTTAAATCCTTCTTAACCATGTAGAGAAAACACAGATGATCAAGTTTTTAGGAATCTCCAAGCCATCAGACGTGGATGCTGCCAAGCAGTTCTCAGTTTGTCAGACATTCTGCAGCTCAAGGCATAATCTGCAAATAAAAAAATAAGGCCCAAGATGTCAGAAAAGTTGAAAAACAGGCAAGAAAAGGGAGCAATAAAATCAATACTAATGAGCTATTTAATTAACCCTTGCCATGCAGACTCTGCTGCTCTCACTGTCTTGGGTCTGTCTCAGGAGTTTTCAGATCCCAGAGGAAATAAAGATGAAATATAAAATGAAAGATTTTAAGGCTGTTATCAGGGTTCACTAGGAAACTTTGAGACAGGGATTTCCTTCAGCCCAGAAGGACATGGCACAAATTTAGGAGAAGCTTTTTGGCAGGACATCAAAGGGTTTTGGAAAAATATCTGGCTGGGGGAGTTTAGGAAAGGGATAATTTAAGAGCAGGATAGCTGGAGCCTGCTCTGGGTTATTCCATCACTCCCTAAAAATCCAAGGTGAGTTTGCCAACCGTGGTGCAGAGCCAAGCTATTAATAGTGCAGGGAAAAAAAAAATCTGAGCTTATTCCAGCTTTAAAGCCATGACATAAACCAGTCCTTGATGATGAAGGGCTGTGCTATGTGCAGAGAGATTTTTAATTCCTCTCTAAACCACTTTCATGTAAAACATTCACGTTTTCCACAGCTCAGAGCCAGTTTTTCCTTCAGCAAAGCAATCTCCATGGCCCAGGAGTGCTGCCTGGGGAAGGGCAGTTCCACAAATGCCATCAGGAAAATGTTCATGGTTCTGCTGTGCCTCACAGGGAGCCCTAGAGACACTCATTAGGAGTGAGCAAAGCCTGATGAAAAACCCCAAACACGCATTGCAGGGTTAAAAGAAGTCAAGAAATTTAAATAAAAGAGCCACATCCTCAAGCAGAACCACATCCCCACAGCCTCATTAACATTCTTCTCCAAAGCCAGTGACTTTTGCCAATTGAAGGGCTCACTTTGCACCACTGAGGCCCCTCTGGCCCTCTAATGGCCGTTTAATGAGGTTTCCCATTCAGCAGTGCCAGAGCCACTCACTGCAAAGCTCAGGGTCACAATCTCTGCGTGCCCAGAGCTGCTCTGGGTGTCCCTCGAGAGGGGACAGTGACAAACAGCACCACGTGGATACAGGGACGGGCTAAAGGACAGTGTCCATCCTCCACCATTCCCCATTAAAGGCAAGAGAGCAGGGAAAAGAACTGAAATGTGAGGTTGTTGAGCAATCCTGAGAGCTCACAGGGCTCAGAGCACCAGGGAAGACCTCGCCTGTTGCTGTCTGCCACCGAATGACACAGACATGGCACTGCAGCCATGCCTGCAACACGAGATGGGGCAGGGCTGGCACCTCCTGGCACTGCAGCTCACCTGGGCACGGCTGGCACCCCCTGGCACTGCAGCTCACCTCTGGTCTGCCTCTGGAAAAGAAAGAAATGCATGGACAGCCTTTAGACACAGCCCAAAGCCTGCTTACACAGGTGCTGCTTCCCTGGCAGCAGCAATTTAAAAGGCATCAAGAACAGCACAGTATTTTTATTTTCTGATATGATAAATTCCCAGTGTTGCCACGTGGTTTTACAGATCGCTTCCACTTACTGTTCTGTAACACACGTGGCACCCACAGGATCAGAAACTCTCACTCTGAACAGAACAAACCTCCCCTTATCCAGAACCCACATTCCAGTCAGTTCAGAGCTGGTTTGCCTGTCTCCATTGAGGCTGATTAGGGATGTCAGGCTATCAATCACTCTGATTGCTCACGGGGTGCAGAACAAACGAGCGTAGAACATAGCCTGGGTCTCTCTTGCCACTCTTTGACACAAAGATGCCACAGCAGCCATCTCTGCAACGCCAGTGGCAGCAAATAACCCAAAACCACTGGAAAAATGTAATTATGGGTGGGTGTCCATCCCTGGAAGTGTTCAAGGCTTGGCTGGATGCAGCTCTGAGCAGCCTGGGAGAGTGGAAGGAGTCCCTTCCAATCCAAACCATTCCATGATTCTGTTGTATTTAGAAGATTTTATCACTATTTAAAAGCAGTGCTAGCAAGGTATTTGCTGCATGTGCAGATACCACGTGTAACACTTCACTTACAGTTAGAAAGGTGGCTGAAGCTTCTCGGGCAGCCCCCTCCTGAAGGATCACCCTGCATTTCTGAACTCACACCATCCTGGTCTGGTCACTTCATTTTTTGTCCACTGCCAGGCTGAAGAAAGAAAAGAAAAACAAAGGAAAAATGTTGTTAATAATGCCTAACAGCCTTTTTTTTTTGGTGAAGCACACCATTTATCTGAAAACCTGAGAATCAGAACAGTTAAAAGAATAATATCCACTGAAGATTCATGTTAACTACTGAAATCGTTGAAAACCTGAAATCCCTGTTTTTTCTTCCTTTTTTCAGTGGAGTATATTAAAAAATACACATCTGTGTATGCTTTATATTAGAGATATAAATATACACCTTGCAATATATTCGGTTTACAATATAT